GAGGATCAGATCCTGCCAAGTGTCCATGGACTATCGGGGGGCGAGGGTGCGCGATCGCGAGTGCCGGCCAAGTTCAAGTGCGGTCGGCCGTCAACGCCGGCGAACTTTCAAAGTCCGGCACCGAGATCGACGGTGGGGATCCATATGGTGGTAGACCGGACCACTATATAAAGCGGCCGCGATCAACACCGCACATCATCAGTCTCGCTTTGGTCGATCCAAACCAACCAAATCTACTCAAGAATGGCGTTCAAGGTGGGTAGAGGATCGCAAACGAGGAGGACCTCTCGAGTCCGTTAGACTGTGCTTGGAGTCTCCTGGACTCGGTTGTACGCTCAAAGTGCTCAAAGAGAGGGGGTTTATCTCCCGGGATTCGCTCTCGGATAGCAAAATTCGCGAGTGAACGTTAATCGGAACTGAAAAGTCCGAGCCTCACGCAAATTTCAAGTGTATATCGAAATCTAAGATCAGTTCGGGAACGATTTGATATTGTCGACAAAAGTTCTTTTATAATTATTAGATAAACCAGACAGAAGTTTATATAATAATAATAATAATATTCTTTTGCAGTTTGTCGCTTTCGCCGCCCTCGTGGCCGTCGCCAACGCCGGTGTTCTCGCGCCCGGTGCCCCCTTGGCTTACGCCACGGGCCCCGCGGTCGTCGCCGCCCCCGTTGCCAAGGCCGTGGTAGCTAAGGCCGTCGACGCCGATTACGACCCGCATCCGCAGTACAGCTACGCCTACGATGTGCACGACAGCCTGACCGGCGACGCCAAGAGCCAACAGGAGACCCGCGACGGCGACCTCGTCCAGGGTAGCTACTCCCTCTTGGAGGCCGACGGCACCAGGCGCATCGTCGACTACACCGCTGACCCGGTCAACGGATTCAACGCCGTAGTCCGCAAGGAACCCGCCGCCGTCGCCGTCAAGGCCGTCGCCCCGGTCGCCGCCGCCCCCATCGCGCACGCACCCCTCGCCTACGCTGCCCCGGTCGCCAAGATCGCCGCCCCTGTGGCCCATGCCGCCCCCCTCGCCTACGCTTCTCCAGTCGCCAAGCTGGCCTCCCCGATCGCTAGCTCCCTGTCTTACTCTGCTCCTCTCTCTTACTCCGCTCCTCTCTCTTACTCCGCTCCTCTCTCTTACTCCGCCCCCCTCTCTTACTCCGCTCCCCTCTCTTACTCTGCCGGCATTGCTAAGATCGCTGCCCCCGCTGTAGCCCACTACGGACACGCTGCACCCCTTGCCTATGCCGGCTATGCCGCGCACGCCGCCCCCCTTGCCTACGCCGCGCATTCCGCCCCTCTCGCGTACGCCGCGCACGCAGCCCCCATCGCTAAGATCGCCGCCCCCATCTCCTATGCCGCCCCCGCTGCCTACATCCACTAATTGTGTTGACCGCGCCAACCCTCATTGTCGACTCAGGCCGAACTTATTTATTTTTATATCATGTATATGTTCTTTCTATGTGACTGATTAAAGAAATTACACACACACACATACTTGGGATTATTCGTTTGCGCTAGACCTCGCTAAACTATTTCTCGCTGTCGCTGTATCAATATGCTAATAAGTGTACATATGTACAGTGCATTAGCCATATTTAACTTTTAAATAAAATGTGCGTAATGTTGTATATTGATATAGCGTATATCGTGTGTATACAATATATTAGATATTGTGAAAATTATTAAATAAACGATTTGTAGAAAATTAAAATATGAGCAGAAAGAATCCGAATCCTCCATTCTCAATATGATAAAAAGAGACGTCGAACACAGCAACGAGTATTATTATAATCAGTTTAAAGTAAAGAAAGACAGAAAAATTAAAAACATAGTAAGAAAACAGACAGGAGTTATATTAATGGATCCACTTTGACAAACTTTTTGCGAGATTTCAATTAAACTGTATGTATTAATGTCAAAAGATAAAGAACATTGTGCGATTAAAAGGACGAATATAAATAATTTGCATAACTGATGAAAAGTAACGAGGGAGATCACCTTGATCTGATATTGATTTCCATTTTAAGAAAGCTTAATTGTTTTTATCACATTGATCAATTTTATAGCATTTACATAATGATCTCTCGATCGTTATATCTCTCACATGATACCGGTTTTTTTTTTCAAAGGACCACACGTCTATCCTAATTATAATTACATTATAATTTGTTGCATTTAAATGTCTTACTTCCATCCTTAAAGTTTTTTCAAACTTTAAAGTTTTTCAGGACGGCAAATTCTACAAATTAAAATATTAAAAATCTCTAACAATACTTTTGTATT